TTTTTTTCTAGAAGATAACATAAAATGTGTAACAAAGGCAAAGGGAAGGGAAAAATACTCACAGAGAAAGATGCGTGATTCTATGTCTAGGCAATATATTGCTTTCTCACTTCGGTTTTATAATAACGCTCATGGTACCACTGTTAAGCATGCCTTATTTTACATATTTCATACGTTGCAAAGAGAAAATGCATTAGAAAAAAGCGTCTAAAACTAATTGTACAAAGAGTGAATGGATCTGTATGTCATCCTAGTAATCTCTGTCCCAGCTATTATTGGGTTTATTTTTGTTGTTGTTTTTTTCTTTTTTTGCTACTGGAAATTGAACTTATGACCTCTCACTTGCCAGGCAGGCACTGTGCTGGTGAGCTATATCCCTATCCCGTGTGTGTGTGTGTGTGTGTGTGCCCCAACAATTATTGTTCTTCATTCTATATTTAATTGTCTGTCAGGGTTGGTTAATTTACATATGACAATCTTACGTCAGTTTTACAATGAACTAAATAAACACATGAAATTCAGTAAATAAGTGCAAGATTTTGGATCTGTGGTTGATATAAATATGTTATAAGTGCATATTTACTTTTTTATTCCTATCTTTTTATGCGCGACTTGGACTTGAGCCCAGATCTGTGTGCAATATTGGCAAGTATTTTAACACTGAGCTATCTACTTAACTTTATACGTTATTTTCTGTGTACTATGTTATCAGAAACATTTAAAGTTTTAGTTAAAGTCTCTCTATATAATGATTGTACAAAATTAGACTTCTGTTTGAATTAACTGTAAATACTGATATCACCTGCATATATTAATTCATGTAAGGTGATTAATTTTTCCACTTCTGCCTAGACCATGAGATTTTTGGTCTTCACGACATTATTACTGCAGAAAAAGTCCACAATAAATCAGAAATTGGGTTTGGTTTGAATAAGATATTCATAAAGTTAAATTTATTGCCATCATATTTCTTATTAAGTAGACATATTTCTTTACCATATATATTACTTTAAATTGGGTATGCACTGAATTCAATATATTGTTTAAGTAACATATGATTTATGCAGAATAACGTGCTATGCAGTCGGCAACATGGAAATGAACTAAGTCAACCTCTTTCTAACAGGCCTTTAATTCAAAAAGGCAATCAGATTTCACGTACCAAATGAACGTTTGTCATTTTGCATTTGCCAAGTCTGCATATTATTTGAATATTATGTAGCATCAAATAAAGATCTATACATTATAAAGATTCTTATCATCTTGTTTTGAAATTCTGTATCCTTTTTATTGTTTTTCTCTATTTTTATTTTGTTATTGTTTTATATTCTCTTTAAAATAAAAAATAAAAAATGATTTGCAAAGATGCAAATAAAGAATGATTTAAAACCCAACAGATTAACTCCAATGAAAGTCTGCAAAAGCAGAAAAGAATTACAAAAGTTGAGGAAAGTCCACTTAATAGGTGGTGCTCCACACACACTTCCTGATCAGATAAGTGTAAATGGTAATAGCTATTTTTTAAGCAAATAAAGAATCATCTGTTGACTGGAAAAATTAAGACCATACAGCAAATGAAATATCATTAATTCAAGAAATTCTATCAAAATTCCTTATGAATAGCAGAAGACTCTGACTTTAAACCTATTTCCTCCCTCTCATTTCTATCTCTCAGATATACTGATAAGAAATTTCCAGCCTGGCATGCATGGTTGAGGTGATAGGACTTCTCAGTCAACAACGCAGGGATGTAACACCTTAGGAGGAGGGGCAGGGTCCGAACATTGCTCCTATCCTTCAATTCCAAGTTTCAGAAGCTAAATTCTGGGTAGAATTATCATTGAGATAAGCAGCTTCTTTCCTTGACCCAAATCCACGCATGAGTTTAAGTTCTTCTCTAGGCTGAAAGATAGATAATATAGGATCCACCTGCTTTTGTCCCAGGAAATGTAAAATAGGATGACAAGTGTTGTCTCTTTTCATCCAGTGCCTGGGACTGTAGCTGAGAGCATTTACCCAGAGTAAAAGATAATAAAAAGGAACAGACAGATCTGAAGCTCTTCCCCAAATATTTACTTTCAAGCAGTTTTAATAATATATATTATCATATATTATGGTAATATATTACCATATTATATATTACCATATTTAAATATGTCTATATAATATAAACTAATAGTTCATAGCTATGTTAGTATCATATTGCTATGTTTATGCCATAATAAACTAAAATGGATTTGAATCCAGAAAACTAAAATGCATATGGCAAAAAACAAAGAAGGTGTTAAAACCTGAATGACACATTAAAAACCATTAAATAATTTACATCACAACCAAAATATTCAATATAGGGCTGGGGATATGGCTCAGTAGTACAACACCTGCCTAGCAAGCATGAGGTTCTGAGTTCAATTCTTGGTACCAAAAAAAAATTATTCAATATGAAAGTAAATAGTGGAAAAGAAATAGAAGAACACAAAAAGAAAATGTCACAAAAAATAAAATGACAAATATAAATGTATATATTTACAGTAGTTTAATGTAAAAAGATTAAGAATAAAAATGTAGAAATTATGAAATTGTATAAAAACTGATGAACATATAAAGTGCATGTCTGCAGTTTACTGATAGCCAACTAAGCCCACATGAGTATGTGACAATCTGTGAAAACCCCTGTGATTTTTTTCAACATCTGCACCACTAAACTGCACCGGGCCACCCTGTCTTTTAGCATATTCGGTGTACAGATAACTTTCCTGTCATTTTTCCCAGCACACGGTGAATCTGATTTTGCTAATATCTGCTTCTAGTTGCCTAAAACATAGGAATTGAAACTAGACAGCAATTTCTGTCTGTATTAGAGAAAAGTAGTTTTCTAGCTTCAGCCAAATATCATATGCTGGAAGGTGTGCCTGAACCATTAGATTTTACCACGGAGTCTTTCCTTGACCGTCCTGTAGAGCCTTCTCTCTCTCTCTCTCTCTCTCTCTCTCTCTCTCTCTCTCTCTCTCTCTCTCTGTCTGTCTCTCTCTCTGTGTGTGTGTGTGTGTGTGTTCGGCAAGAGATCATCTGCTGGCACATTGCTCCCCACTCCTTCAATGCTAGGCATGGCGCTTAGTTTTGTGCATGTTTCAGTGTCTAGTGCAAAGGTGATGCTGAGGAAATATTTAATAGATTGTACAGTTAAGAACAATCTACACAAACAGTTCTTCCAGAAGCAGTCACTAAGGGTGTCCATTGGTAAGTTTCTCCCATATTTAGGCATATCCTTAGCTGAATAGAGGTGCTGAAAAGGTAAAAATGCTTAAGAAAATGCTTCCTTTTTCAGAAAAGCAAATACCATATGGAGAACAAAGCTTATTGTATCCCTGTGCTCCCTAACTTTAAAGGTGTCTTTTTTTTTGTTTTTATTTCCAGTACCGAGAATCAAACTAATGACATTGCGCTTGCCAGGAAGGCTCTGTGCCTCTGAGCTAAATCCCCAGGCCAAGGTGTCTTAATTTACATTTTGGAGAGTATTCCTGTGAGACAGCTATTACATTAAAATCTAAAGGCTTCAGTACACTCTCACACCTCAAATCAACATCTGAGATATGAAAAGCAGATTAACAGCATGGTTCTTATGCTATTCTTATAATACTCAGCAACTTCTGGTTGGGAAATCAGCAACTAACAAATATTGGCATGCTAAGCTCAAAAATGTCATTTGTAATGGCAAACTATTTTTGATCTTCAACTGCAGTGAAATGCAAACCACTACAGTTTCACATAACAAGATTTTTTTTTGAAAATAATAACCTGCTGTTTGAAGATAAATGTCTCTTAACTGATATTTCATGGTAAGCAAGGGATTCACTTTCCTTAGACAGGGGAATTCAATAGGCAGACTTCAAGAATGTCATCTGTTCTGAGGTACCCTTTTGAAAGATCTCTTCTTGGTTCCCAGGCCAGAATGATAATATTGATAAATGTGCTGTGCATTGTACCTTATGATTAGAAATGTCTTTCCTATACAACTTCTATTTCAAATTCCTAAGGATCTCATCCAAGTATAAGCCTAAAACTTTCAAGCTAAGTCAATTTGAGAAGTTCTTTTATGTTTCTGTGCTTGCTTTCCTCATGTCTCTACAGATTCACAATACTCATTTTAGGGATGTTCTGAGGAGTGATTCGTTAATATGGGAAATCCTTGAGACTAGTATCTATGAGGTAGTAAGCTTTAAAAATGCTAACTCTCGTTATGATTGAAAATATTTCTATTAAAGTGTTTATCACTGCTGAAAGACTTAAATAAATGCCGTTTGCTTTGTTATTCATTCTCTTGTATTTTCTAGCCCAGTTGCTGCACATAAGTCAGCACCCTTTATTACCCAGTATGTCTGATAATAAAAAAGATAAAATGGCATCATTAGCCAAGGTCACTGCTTTTTAAAGAAAGCTGTCCTGATATATAATATAATAAAGCAACAATGACTCTTTTTTATGTGTTTGAGGGGAAATAATTTTGCACAATTACCAAATTGTCAGATAAAAATCTCTTTTTATTTTCCATAACGTGATTCTTTTTTCCAACCATGGAAACACAAAAGATTCTACCTCAGTTCTGCAATAGGTTTTTCTAGTTGCTTCCAGATGTCTCCGAGTTCTAACACTTTCCACAGCCCCTGTGAAGGAACTTTTTACTGCTCAAAACCCTTTTAATATTCAGCAGGTTAAGGAAATCCACGGTCAGCTTTAGAATTTTTGTCTCTGCTGAGCCTTCAAGGTGTCAAGACCCTGAAATAATATGAACAGCAGGACTACTAAATCTTTCATTATTTGCAGTTTCCCCTTGAGCATACTGACTTTGCAATAAAGAAGCTGTCATTTACACTCTTCTTTATTGCAATGTGGATAATAGCTACAGGGAGCAAAATAAGGACCTACGTCAAGTTGGCCTAACTGCCATTATGATGAATGTGTAATCATGGCGCATTTGCATCTCCTCTTCTCATATGCAGGTACTTCATAGATTGGAAGAGAGATGGGGACAGCTACTTCACAATAGATGGAACCGAAGGAACCATCGCCACCAATGAATTACTAGACAGAGAAAGCACTGCCCAGTATAATTTCTCCATAATTGCGAGTAAAGTTAGTAAGTATGGCATGGACGGAATCGGTGTTACACAGCACTACTTCGGGTTTAACACTTCTAAATGAGTCCCTGCTGAGGTGCTTTTCATTTCTGGACTGACAGCTGAGAGATCCCCCGGGAAACTCAGAAACCTGTTCTTTTTTCTCGTAACATAAGTCCAGAGAAATTGTGACAGCTGCCAATAAGCTCTGTTTTGCGAGACGGCATGAGTACCTGGTCGGACCACGTCCTTCCTCATGCAGAACTTTCAAAAACTCACAGAGGTGCCAACTTCTCCCACGCACAACCCCTCTATCTTCATCATTGGGAGTTCTATGAGTGAGGCTGGAAGAAATAATTATCACATAAAATCATTCATTCTGAAATATTTTCTGAAATTGAAGAAAGTATTTTTCAAGCATCCGTTTTCCTTCTTTCTCCTGTTATTAGAAATTATATTTAATGAATATAACTGTGCAATGCACCGGTGTTTTAACTGTATTTCAAATAATTGCGTGGATTCTGAAGGATTTCCAGGAATCATCCTTTGAGTTGGTTTCACCTTGGTAAAGAAGAAAATCCTCTGAACTGAGAATGACTATAGCCTGTATGTGTCTGATGCGATACCCAAATATATTTTCACAGGGTTCTCAAGTAATAATTAGGGTGGAAAGGGTAACAGGTAACTCTTGACATAGTGGCTTTTATCAGAAGTGCATTGCCTGAGGCTGTCTGCTTATAGCCTTTTGAAAGGCTTAAGAAATGCTTTCTGAGTAGATTTCTTTTTTTTTTCCTTTTTCCTTTTATGCATCTGGTGCACATTTATACCACTTTAACAGGTGATTTAAACTTTTAAAACTGAAATGAGTTTTTGGCTTTTCTGTAGAGGGCTTTTGTTCAGCGTCAATTTGGTGGGAATATAAACATGAGAGGGTTTTATTAATCTAGAACAACTGCTTCTATCCCTGAACAGTTAGATACGTTTCTCAGATCTCGGTGAGATCTTCCACCCATTGAACCACCTTCAGTTTACTTTGATTCTTAACAGGAAGTCTAACATCTCATACCTTGTGTTTGGAAGGCTTACTCTTGGCTGCCTGACCTGTCATGTGAGAAGTCTGACTACCCTGTGATACCAGAGAAGTCACAGATTGCCACTCAGATGACAGCACAGCTGAGTTCACTCGGTCTTCCAACTATATCTGCCCTTCAACTAGATACGTGACTATCTTGGGAGGTCTAGTCCAGTTCATTTGCTGCCTGAATAGCATATTATATTTACCATGTGAAAGAAATACAACACAGACTAATTTGTTTGGAATCATACCCACAAAACCTTGGGAAATAGGACCAGATTATTAAGCAAATGCATTTCAGTGTTGTTTATTGATATGCAGCATTAGATATCTAGCAAACATAAAGACAACATGAATTGTAACTGATTCCTTGGGGCTGGGAATTGAAAATTTCCTGCCTGGCAGAATGAAATAGGGAAATAAAAATACACAAATCTCTTCTATCTGCCACATATAGTGCTCCATTAGTTGACACATTTTAGAACTGAAATGCACTAGTAGTGAAAGTAGTTGTCTCAAGCTAAAACTGGTTTTGTGTGGTTTTTGTAAGTTCATTCGTTTGGGGTTTCTGGTCATACCACTTGAATAGATATCAGGTGAGGGCCCCCAGTGATACACCTTATGGCTTCTTCATTCCCATAGCATATTGCTGAGCAAGTGGCCTTCTTGGGTAAGTTAGTAACACAGTTTCTCAAATTCAAATCTTTTCTGCTTCTCTCTGTGCATCTGGCCCTAAGGACACTGACATCTCCTTGCCAAGTTAAATCAGGAGCATTACAGGCACTTTCTCTCCTGAATGTTTTTTTTCTTTGACACCTTCTTTCAAATTGACCTTTTGTCCTGCATTAGGTCCTGATAGAATATTATTAAGTTATCTGTCTGAGCAGATATTTTATAGGGAGAACAGAATGCCAGCATCCTTTCTGAGGTACATTCTGTGCTTGCTTTCTTTTCAAGGTATTTTCCTGAAGTCTCTCTTCATTTGCTACCATGTTTCCCTCTCCTTGTGTATCTTATTGCAGTTCTGTAGGTGAATATTACTTCATTTCATAACAATTTTTAATGCTTAGCTCATACAGAATTTTGAAAGCAGCTTAATTATACTGTATTTGGAAAATAAACTTTAATTTTCTGATATGTTTGATAAATAGAATAAAAGGGAGTTGTCTTTGATGTATTATGGAACTTGACTTCTGTGAACCATATTATTTCACTCCAGTGTTTTAAACAGAGTAAGTAACAACTGATCAAAGGCAGTCTATAATCATTTTTACTTCTTACAGATAATTTTTTTGTAATAGAATAATAACAGAAAACTAACCTAATGTAAATCTTCCTACACACACGCACACACACACACACACACACAGTGTGCATATTGTAGGAGTAGGAGTGGAAAGCTATCCTATCTCACCTCAAACTGAGCTTCTGTGGGTCCTTCTCTGGTAACCTGTACTGCAGCGATGGAAGTGCAATTTTCCCCAGTGACTACCTGGATTACCAAAACCATCATCATGGTATGAAGAAAGTAATAAGAATAAGATCCAGTGTTTGCTTTCAGAGCTTCGAGCTTCAAATATTTTGCTAAGGAAAGTAAGTGGGAACCTTTACAGTGGAATTTAATGATACTTGATCCTTGAAAGATTAAATTTGTTAAATTTATAGAATCCTAATTAATTATTGATCACTGTGATGAGCACACATGGTACACCACCCTGATCACTGTAATTTTTATATTAATGCAATGTAGGAAACTCTAGATTATTCATGCTAGTACATTTTTTTGGCCCTCATCATCAGAATTAAGAATGAAGCACATGGTGTATAAATGATCTAACAGAGATATCAAATTAATATCCTTAAAATTGACCCATAGGGAATTCCAGCATCTACTCACAGACCATTGAGTGGATTTCAGATCCAGGAAGACAGTCTGCTGAAACAGATTATATACTATAGCTGAATGCAAAATAAGGGTGCTAACATGTGAGATAATTAAGATTCTATAAAACCAGATAAGTGATGGTGTTACACTTTGTGTCTAGATGTTCTCTTGCACCCTCACAGATTTCAAGGTGGGGCTTTCTTGAAGATAGCTCAATCTAGAGTTTGTGATTGATTCGTGGTTTGGGATAAGTGTGAGTGATTGCTGGATCTGTCCACTGATTGGATTGGCATCACCCTAAAGCCAGCAGTCTGGATAAAATAAAAAGAGCAGAAGGAGGCTTGGCTCCCCGTTTTTGTCCCTGTTGCTTTTGCTGTTTTCTGCTGCCATAAACTGCCACATGCCACACTGCCTTGGAGCCAGTCAATTGTGGACTGAAACCTCCAAATCTATGAGCTAAATAAATCTTTCCTCCTTTAAATTTGAGCATCAGGTACCTCCCAGCAATGAGAAAAGTAACTAAGGCAGTGTGTTTTATTTTGTTTAGATGCACAGTTTAAAAGTAAACTTTACCCTATTCTAAAGCCTAAGACTGTCTTTATTGATGAAACTAGCCAGCTGAGCAGGGAATATCATCACGGTGAATGAATGAGAAATAAAGAGCCCATTCTTGTTCTTCCAAGAAGAACGAAATTGTGTGAGCATACCACACTGCAGACTGAACTAGCATATGTTTTGGCCTTATCCTTTTATAAAATGTCTCAGGTGAAATGAAATGGTACAGTAATTGAACAACTTTCAATTAATTAAAAAGCAGCCATTAATCAATGCTGCTGTACTTGGAGGTTCAAATAAATTTATTAGACTTTTAATAATTATTTTATGCATTGCTGCCTTGCTATTTTTATGATATTAACCTTGAGAATTTTAAAAGAAAGGGACTCTCTAAAAAGATGCTTCTTTAAAATTATCAGAAAGTTTGAACAGGGTGATGTCTTTATTTATTTACTCATTTATTTATTTTTGATGTTACTGTAACAAATGTCATTAATTAAAGATAATGGGCATTGATGTCAATAAAGACCCATATTGTGTATATTATAAACAGAACACACTAGAAACAAGTATTTCTTGGTTATGTTGATTATCCAGATGGAAGTTGATTGGTTTCATTCCTTTTGGAATAAGCAAAAAATCATTGAACTGCCTTCCCAAATGCTATATTTGAAAAATGTTTACAGGAAGTATCACTTTAGGAGTTTGGATTTCCTTGTTAGATATTGTCTAAGGTTGCTTTGTATAAATAGAGATATCTTATATTGCAAACTTTTCTTTTTCTTAACGTCAAATAAGTGATATCATTTTAATATGTACAAAAAAAGGAAAACTGTGAAATTGGTGTCCACTATTCAGGCTAGAAATAAATTATTGACAGTTTTATTAACTCTGTAGAGGCAAAACTGTGTACAGAACATTGTTAGCTATAGGTTCTGAAAAAACTAAGACTGATGTTCCTAAGGACATTTCAGTTTATGTAAGTAGAATTTAAACTAAGTAATGAATTGTAGTAAATTATAACTAAAATTACATTGAAATTCAGATTTAAATGAACTTTGGGGAGAAGTTGCAAAAGTTATGACTAACAACAGTGTGGTCATTAAATGATGAATGATTTACAGAAAAAAATATTTTTTGAAGTGATTATTTGATCTATATGACAAATAGCCTGGAAATAAAGTACTGGTACAAGATGAGAAATATTTAATTAGTTTCTACAATATTAAGTAATAATGCAATTGAAAAACATAGTTATTATAATAGATGTATATTTACATTTACTTGTTGCTGTCATTAATTCTTCAAGGACTGGATCACTGTCCATATTATAAGATCAAAGAATTGATGCTATCAGACATCTTGTTTGTAAGCTAGTGTCACCAAGATACTAATATCCAAGTAGAGCTGGAACCCAGTAATCTCACTGCAAACATATTCCATGGGTTGGAACCCAACATATTACAAGGACACATATTCATAGCCTTTTTCAGTTGCTTAAGTAA